CCTTCACAAAATGAAGGGGCGCATTGTGTACAGAGGAGACTGCGCAAAGGACGAACATGGTGCAGCCGCGGTTTACCAAGAACTCGGCGCAAATTCCACCTCCGTCCAAGGGCTAAACGCCTGCCTGGCGTATGGGTCGCTGCCGGGTAACCGCGCGACGGCTGCAGATGCAGTCAAAGCTTACGTCCAAGCACTGTTATCTTCCAAATACAAAACCTGGATTGAGCTTCCCCCGGAGCTCCGCCCTAAGTATTGGAAACAACAGTTTGTTAAGCCCGTAGTCCTCTTAATTAAAGCCTTATACGGTCATCCTGATGCCGGAGGCCTGTGGGAACAACACTTGAAAGTCATCATCAAGAACCTTGGTGGACAGGAAGTTCAAGAATACCCAGGAAACTTTTACTTCCCAGATACAAAGTTACTTCTGTCAACTTATGTAGACGATTTAACTCTTGCTGGCCCCGCCGACCAGCATGATGCATTCTGGAGTAAGTTAACTTCCGTCGTAGACATTGAACCCCCAGAGCCCATCTATAGGATTCTTGGACGCAACCATGTTGTTACCCCACTATCCAAGACCGAAGGTCATGAAAAGTGTGCAGCCTTCCAAGCCCAAGATGGCATGGTATTTGATATGGCAGACTACGCTCAGCAGACCGTAGATTTGTATAAGTCAATAACTGGTGTCACCAAACTCAAGCATGCTGCCACGCCATTTCCACCTGAGGGATCCATCACCATTGAAGATGATGAAACTAAAGGGGAACTAGCTCCAAACGCATGTAAGATTTTGATGAAAGCCCTTTGGTTAGGTAGACTTGCACGTCCCGACATCATCAAGCCTATCAATGATCTGGCCACAAAGGTCCAGTCGTGGTCCAGGGGGGATGATAAGAAGGTCCTAAGATTAATCCAGTACATAGCCTCAACACCACACTACAGGTTAGTAGGTACCATTCAGGACAAGCCTGAAGACCTAGAGCTCAGATTGTTTGTCGATGCCGACTTCGCCGGCGACAGATCAACTGCACGCTCAACCTCTGGTGGCTTTTTGGTTTTAATTGGCCCTAGTTCCTTCTTCCCACTTGCATGGATTAGCAAGCGCCAAACATCCACTTCTAGATCGACCACGGAAAGCGAGGTTGTTAGTTTAGCCCATTCGCTTTATCAAGAAGGCTTGCCTGCCTTACAGTTATGGGAGCTGTTGCTTGCACGCTCCGTAACCCTTAAGGTCCACGAAGATAATCAAGCAACAATCCTAGTTGTGAAGAAAGGATATAGTCCCAAGCTTCGCCATATAACTAGAACACACAAAGTTAATTTGTCTTGCCTGTCTGAAGTCTTCAGAGATGACTCTGCCGAAATAGAGTACACCCACACCGACGACCAGGCGGCAGACATATTCACCAAGGCATTGCCTCCACATAAATGGGCAGCAGCACTAATCCTCCTAGGAATCCGTACTGACCTCCCATTAGACCTTAAAGCCAAAGCATAGGTCGCTGTGAGCGCACGTTCACGCGACTGTAGTTGCTTAGCTCACTGCCAATGCGCAGTATGTGTGGAACAGGCGAGGGGGGAGTTGAAATATATCGACCCCTGAGCCCCACTATGTATAGCATAGGTAGTAGGTCATATGTAGAGCACTGCCATAGCTATGAGTCCATTCAATTCGAAGTAGCTATTCCCATTAATGTAGAGTAGCACCTCATACTTAGAAGCGTTAAGTATGTAGTGTAGCCATAGATTAGAGGGTAGTACTAGGTCCACCCTAACAACCACCTGGGTGTAATTAGTGTGTACCCGATGTCTTGGCTCAAGTGCGGAAAATAGCGTCCGTACTTGTTGATTGTTTCATGCAGGGTTTACCGGATTGGGTTTCCTTCTTTTTGCGGGTGCCTGGTTCGTCCCCCTGTTTGACTTAATTGATTGATAATTGATGGTT